TTTTTTTAAATTATTTCTCCCTTTTTTTCCTCCTTTTTTTCTCCTTTTTTTCCTCTTTTTTTCCCCTTTTTTCCTTTTTTTTTCTCTTTATTTCCCCTTTTTTCCTCCTTTTTTCCTCCTTTTTTTCCTCCTTTTTTTCCCCTTTTTTTCCCCATTTTTTCCCATTTTTTTCCATTTTTTATGACCAAAACTTCCCGAATTTTTTTGATTTTTTTCCCCAAATTTCCTGGGTTTTTCAGGGGATTTTGGGTTGATTTTTTGCCCAAATTTGGGTGTTTTCCCCCCAGATTGGAACACGCTGATCGTGGGTAAATTGTCCCCCTGGATCCGGCCGGACTCGCCCCTCGAGCACGTCAGGATCAACTCACAGAAGGTGACTCAAGCTTTTTTGGGGGGATTTGGGGCTTTTTGGGGATTTTTGGGGGATTTTTGGAGGGATTTGGGGCTTTTTTGGGATTTTTGGGGGGATTTGAGGGATTTTGGGGGAGATTTGGGGGATTTTGGGATTTTAGGGAATTTGGGGACTTTGGGGGGATTTGGGGATTTTAGAGAGTTGTTGGGGGTTTTGGGGGCATTTGAGGGGATTTGGAGGGATTTTGGGGGATTTGGGGGAATTATAGGGCATTGGGGGGATTTTGGGGGGTTTGGGGAGTTTTGGGGGGTTTGGGGGGGATTTAGAGGGATTTTGGGGGGATTTGGGGGGTTTTGGGGGATTTGAGGATTTTAGGAGGTTTTGGGTGGATTTTGGAGCATTTGAGGAGATTTTTGGGGGATTTAGGGGGATTTGGGAGGGATTTGGGGGTTTTTGGGGGCATTTTGGAGAGTTTTTGGGGGTGGGTTGGGGGATTTTTGAGGGGATTTGAGGGGGTTTGGGGGAATTTTGGGGCAGGGGATTTTGGGGGGTTTGGTGGAGGCTTTGGGGATTTTGGGGGGATTTGAAGGGGATTTGGGGATTTTGGGAGTTTTGGGGGATTTTGGGGGAATTTAGGGATTTTGGGGAATTTGGGGGATTTTTGGGGATTTTTGGGGAATTTTGAGGGAGTTTGAGGGATTTTTAAAAGGGTTTTGGGGGGATTTGAGGGAATTTTGGGGGATTTGGGGTGTTTGGTGATTTTTGGGGGTCTTAGGCATTTTTAGAATTTTGGGGGTGGTTTGGGGGATTTGAGGGGATTTTGGGAATTTTTTGAGGGTTTTGGAGGGTTTGGGAGATTTTTGGGAACTTTTGGGAGGGGTTGGGGGAATTTGGGGGTTGGGAATTTTTGGGGAATTTGAGGGGGTTTTGGAGTGGATTTGGGGTTAATTTTAGGTTGATTTTAGGTTGGTTTGGGGCTTTTTGGGGTCCCCCAATTTCGGAGACCCCCAAAAATCGGAATCTCCCCAGGCCCTCCCAAACCCCCTGAGGTCCCCAAAACCCCCACCCCCCTCCCCAAAACCTCCTTTGGAGTCTCCTTTTAAGGACCTTTTGTCGGGTTTTGACCAATTTTGCCAATTTTGGGTGGATTTTGGGTGGATTTTGGGGTTTGTTGGGGATTTTGGAGGGTTTGGGGGAATTTGTGGGGGATTTGAGGGGATTTGGGGAGTTTGAGGTATTTTTGAGATTTTTGGGGGTTGGGGAGGTTTGGGAATTTTTGGGGGGATTTGAGGGGATTTTGGGGATTTTGGGAATTTTGGAGGTTTTGGGGGGTTTGGCGGGAATTTTTGTCGGTTTTTGATGAATTTTGATGGATTTTGTGTATTTGGGGTTTTTTGGGGTCCCAAATTTCGGGAACCCCTAAATCACCGATTTTCCCCCAGGCGCTGCGCCAGGAGTTGGATTTCGGGGCCTACCTGGGCCTGGCCGCCCACCTGGTGCCCCTCAGGGGGCACAGCCCAACCTGGCCCGGGGCTCAGCGCCCACCTGGGCTCGGGGCACCACTCCACACAGGTTACTGGGCAAACTGGGAGCACTGGGAGCCACTGGGAGGGCATTGGAACAAACTGGGAGTGACTGGGAGGGGATTGGGGGGCACTGGGAGGGATTGGGGGCACAACCCAACCTGGCCCGGGGGCTCAGCGCCCACCTGGGCTCGGGCACCACTCCACACAGGTTACTGGGAACACTGGGAGGGACTGGGATAAACTGGGAGGGCTCAGCGCCCACCTGGAGCTCGGGGCACCACTCCACACAGGTTACTGGGAGCACTGGGAGCACTGGGAGCCACTGGGAGGGGATTGGAACAAACTGGGAGGGCATTGGAACAAACTGGGAGGGCATTGGAACAAACTGGGAGGGGATTGGAACAAACTGGGAGGGACTGGGAGGGGATTGGGGGGCACTGGGAGGGACTGGGATAAACTGGGAGGGGCTCAGTGCCCACCTGGGCTCGAGGCACCACTCCCACACAGGGTAACTGGGAACACTGGGAGCACTGGGAGCCACTGGGAGGGGATTAAAATAAACTGGGAGCCACTGGGAGGGGATTGGAACAAACTGGGAGGGGATTGGAACAAACTGGGAGTGACTGGGAGGGGATTGGGGGGCACTGGGAGGGGATTGGGGGGCACTGGGAGGGGATTGGGGGGCACTGGGAGGGATTGGGGGCACAGCCCCAGCCTGGCCCGGGGGCTCAGCGCCCACCTGGGCTCGGGGCACCACTCCACACAGGTTACTGGGCAAACTGGGAGCACTGGGAGCCACTGGGAGCCACTGGGAGGGCATTGGAACAAACTGGGAGTGACTGGGAGGGACTGGGAGGGAGTTGGGGGCACAACCCAGCCTGGCCCGGGGGCTCAGCGCCCACCTGGGCTCAGGGCACCACTCCACACAGGTTACTGGGCAAACTGGGAGCACTGGGAGCCACTGGGAGGGATTAAAATGAACTGGGAGTGACTGGGAGGGGACTGGGAGCCACTGGGAGGGGATTGGGGGCACAACCCAACCTGGCCGAGGCTCAGCGCCCACCTGGGCTCGGGGCACCACTCCACACAGGTTACTGGGAACACTGGGAGCACTGGGAGCCACTGGGAGGGGATTAAAATAAACTGGGAGTGACTGGGAGGGGATTGGGGGCACTGGGAGGGATTGGGGGGCACTGGGAGGGGATTGGGGGCACGGCCCCAGCCTGGCCCAGGGGCTCAGCGCCCACCTGGGCTCAGGCACCACTCCACACAGGTAACTGGGAACACTGGGAGCACTGGGAGGACTGGGATAACGCTGGGAGGGCTCAGCGCCCACCTGGGCTCGAGGCACCACTCCACACAGGTAACTGGGAACACTGGGAGCACTGGGAGGGACTGGGATAAACTGGGAGGGGGCTCAGCGCCCACCTGGGCTCGGGGCACCACTCCACACAGGTTACTGGGAACACTGGGAGCACTGGGAGCCACTGGGAGGGACTGGGAGGGGACTGGGGGGCACTGGTTTGGACTGGGAGGGGTTACTGGGAGGGGGCTCAGCGCCCACCTGGGCTCGGGGCACCACTCCACACAGGTTACTGGGAACACTGGGAGAGGGACTAGGGATAAACTGGGAGGGGATTGGAACAAACTGGGAGGGGATTGGAACAAACTGGGAGGGACTGGGACAGACTGGGAGGGGATTGGGGGACACAACCCCAACCTGGCCCGGGGGCTCAGCGCCCACCTGGGCTCGGGGCACCACTCCACACAGGTTACTGGGCAAACTGGGAGCACTGGGAGCCACTGGGAGGGTTGGGAGGCTCTGGGAGGATTGGAACAAACTGGGAGGAGATTGGAATAAACTGGGGGACACTGGGAGGGGATTGGGAGGGGGCTCAGCGCCCACCTGGGCTCGGGGCACCACTCCACACAGGTTACTGGGAACACTGGGAGGGACTGGGATAAACTGGGAGTGGCTCGGCGCCCACCTGGAGCTCTGGGGCACCACTCCGAGAGGTACTGGGAGCACTGGGAGGGACTGGGATAAACTGGGAGGGCTCAGCGCCCACCTGGGCTCGGGGCACCACTCCACTAGAGGTTACTGGGAACACTGGGATGGACTGGGAGGGACTGGGAGGGGGCTCAGCGCCCACCTGGGCTCAGGGCACCACTCCACACAGGTAACTGGGAACACTGGTTTGAGCACTGGGAGGGACTGGGATAAACTGGGAGGGGCTCCAGCGCACACCTGGGCTTGGGGCACCACTCCACACAGGTTACTGGGCAAACTGGGAGCACTGGGAGCCACTGGGAGGATTGGAGGCACTGGGAGGGAACTAGAGGAGGATCTGGGAGGGTTGGGGGGACTGGGAGGCACTGGGTTATACTGGGATTGGACTGGGAGGCACTGGGAGGGGATTGGGGGCACTGGGAGGGGGTTTGGGGATTACTGGTTTATACTGGGAGGGACTGGGAGAGGACTGGGGGACACTGGGAGGGACTGGGAGGAGCTGGTGGGTTACTGGTTTATACTGGGAGGGACTAGGAGGGGATTGGGGGGCACTGGGAGGGGATTTGGGGGTTACTGGTTTATACTGGGAGGGACTGGGAGGCGATTGGGAGCAACTGGGAGGGACTGGGGAAGCCACTGGGGTCTTACTGGAATGTACTGGTTTGTACTGGTTTGGGGTTTTTCGAGCTGGTGGGTTACTGGTTTGTACTGGGATGGTCCCAGGGGGGTTACTGGTTTATACTGGTGCTTACTGGTGTTACTGGGGGTCAGTTCTGGGTGCAGGACGGTTACTGGTTTGTACTGGTTTGTTACTGGTTTGGGGTTTTTGGAGCTGGTGGGTTACTGGTTTGTACTGGGGCTCACTGGGATGGCTCCAGGGATGTTACTGGTTTATACTGGTGCTCACTGGTTTGTACTGGGGTCAGTTCTGGGTGCAGGACGGTTACTGGTTTGTACTGGTTTGTTACTGGTTTGGGGTTTTTCGGACTGGTGGGTTACTGGTTTGTACTGGGGCTCACTGGGGGTGCTCCGGGGGGGTTACTGGTTTATACTGGTGCTCACTGGTTTGTACTGGGGGTCAGTTCTGCGTGCAGGTTCCCCTGCAGGACGGTTACTGGTTTGTACTGGTTTGTTACTGGTTTGGGGTTTTTCAGACTGGTGGGTTACTGGTTTGTACTGGGGCTCACTGGGGGTGCTCTGGGGGGGTTACTGGTTTATACTGGTGCTTACTGGTGCTCACTGGTTTGTACTGGGGTCAGTTCTGGGTGCAGGACGGTTACTGGTTTGTACTGGTTTGTTACTGGTTTGGGGTTTTTGGAGCTGGTGGGTTACTGGTTTGTACTGGGATGGCTCCGGGGGTTACTGGTTTATCCTGGTGCTCACTGGTTTGTACTGGGGTCAGTTCTGGGTGCAGGACGGTTACTGGTTTGTACTGGTTTGTTACTGGTTTGGGGTTTTTGGAGCTGGTGGGTTACTGGTTTGTACTGGGATGGCTCTGGGGGGGTTACTGGTTTATACTGGTGCTTACTGGTTTGTACTGGGGTCAGTTCTGGGTGCAGGACGGTTACTGGTTTGTACTGGTTTGTTACTGGTTTGGGGTTTTTTGGACTGGTGGGTTACTGGTTTGTACTGGGATGGTCCCAGAGGGGTTACTGGTTTATACTGGTGCTTACTGGTTTGTACTGGGGTCAGTTCTGGGTGCAGGACGGTTACTGGTTTGTACTGGTTTGTTACTGGTTTGGGGTTTTTGGAGCTGGTGGGTTACTGGTTTGTACTGGGGCTGACTGGGATGGCTCCGGGGGTGTTACTGGTTTATACTGGTGCTTACTGGTGTTACTGGGGGTCAGTTCTAGGTGCAGGACAGTTACTGGTTTGTACTGGTTTGTTACTGGTTTGGGGTTTTTCAGACTGGTGGGTTACTGGTTTGTACTGGGATGGCTCCGGGGGGGTTACTGGTTTATACTGGTGCTTACTGGTGTTCCTGGGGGTCAGTTCTGGGTGCAGGACGGTTACTGGTTTGTACTGGTTTGTTACTGGTTTGGGGTTTTTGGAGCTGGTGGGTTACTGGTTTGTACTGGGATGCTCCCAGGGGGGTTACTGGTTTATACTGGTGTTACTGGGGGTCAGTTCTAGGTGCAGGACAGTTACTGGTTTGTACTGGTTTGTTACTGGTTTGGGGTTTTTGGAGCTGGTGGGTTACTGGTTTGTACTGGGGGTGCTCTGGGGGTGTTACTGGTTTATACTGGTGCTCACTGGTTTGTACTGGGGTCAGTTCTGGGTGCAGGGCGGTTACTGGTTTGTACTGGTTTGTTACTGGTTTGGGGTTTTTGGAGCTGGTGGGTTACTGGTTTGTACTGGGATGGTCCCAGGGGGGTTACTGGTTTATACTGGTGTTACTGGGGGTCAGTTCTGGGTGCAGGACGGTTACTGGTTTGTACTGGTTTGTTACTGGTTTGGGGTTTTTTGGAGCTGGTGGGTTACTGGTTTGTACTGGGATGGCTCCGGGGGGGTTACTGGTTTATACTGGTGCTTACTGGTGTTACTGGGGGTCAGTTCTGGGTGCAGGACGGTTACTGGTTTGTACTGGTTTGTTACTGGTTTGGGGTTTTTGGAGCTGGTGGGTTACTGGTTTGTACTGGGGCTGACTGGGATGGCTCCGGGGGGGTTACTGGTGCTTACTGGTGCTTACTGGTTTGTACTGGGGTCAGTTCTGGGTGCAGGTTCCCCTGCTGGCCCCCGAGGACTCGAGGGACGACGCCATCGCCAACGAGGAGCCCCCCGAGGGGGGGACGGGGGAGGCCGAGGAGAAAACCTGGATGTGGTGAGGGGGAAATTCCCGAATTTTGGGGGGGATTTCTGGGAATTTTTGGGGGTTTTTGGGAATTTTTGGGGAATTTTTCAGGAATTTTTTGGGAATTTTTTGGGAATTTTGGGGGGATTTTTCTGGGAATTTTTGGGGATTTTTTTGGGAATTTTTCCGGAATTTTTTGGGGATTTTTGGGAATTTTTGGGGATTTTTTGGGGATTTTTCGGGAATTTTTTGAGAATTTTTCGGGAATTTTTCGGGAATTTTTTGGGGGGATTTTTGGAGGTTTTTTGTGGTGGGTTTGGAGTGGATTTTGGGGGGGTTTGGGTGGATTTTGGTGGGTTTTGGGTGGATTTTGGTGGATTCTGGGTGGATTTTGGTGGATTCTGGGTGGATTTGGGTGGATTTTGATGAATTTCGGGTGGATTTTTGTCGATTTCGGGGTGTTTTGTTCCGATTTTGGGTGATTTTGGGTTCCCCAGGTGGGTTTTGGGTGAATTTTGGGCTGATTTGGGTGGATTTTGAGGGGTTCTGGGTGGTTTTTGGGGGGTTTTGAGTGGATTTTGGGGGGTTTGGGATTTTGGACTGATTTGGGTGGATTTTGGTGTGTTCTGGGTGGATTTTTGGCTGATTTGGGTGGATTTTGGGTCAATTTTCGACGTTTTTGGGTCCCCCAGGTGGGTTTGGAGTGGACTTTGGTGGGTTTGGAGTGGATTTTGGGGGGGTTTGGGTGGATTTTGGTGGGGTTTGGGTGGATTCTAGGGGGTTTTGAGTGGATTTCGGGGGGTTTTGGGTGGATTTAGGTGGGGTTTGCATGGATTTTGGGGGGGGTTGGGTGGATTTTGGTGGATTTTAATGAATTTCGGGTGGATTTTAGCCAATTTCGGGGTGTTCTGGGTGGATTTTGGGTGGATTTGGGTGGATTTTAATGAATTTCGGGTGGATTTTAGCCAATTTCGGGGTGTTCTGGGTGGATTTTGGGGGGTTTTGGGTGGATTTTGGGGGGTTTGAGTGGATTTTGGGTGGATTTTAATGAATTCGGGTGTATTTTTACCAATTTCGGGGTGTTCTGGGTGGATTTTGGGTGATTTTGGGTCGATTTTGGGTGTTTTTGTCCCCCCCAGGTGGGTTTTGAGTGGATTTTGGGGGGTTTTGAGTGGATTTAGGTGGGTTTTGCATGGATTTTGGGGGGGGTTGGGTGGATTTTGGTGGATTTTAATGAATTTCGGGTGGATTTTAGCCAATTTCGGGGTGTTCTGGGTGGATTTTGGGTGGATTTGGGTGGATTTTAATGAATTTCAGGTGGATTTTTACCAATTCCGGGGTGTTCTGGGTGGATTTTGGGTGATTTTGGGTCGATTTTGTTGGGGTTTGAGTGGATTTTGGGTGGATTTTAATGAATTCTGGGTGTATTTTTACCAATTTCGGGGTGTTCTGTGTGGATTTTGGGTGATTTTGGGTGTTTTTGTCCCCCCAGGTGTGTTTTTGGTGGATTTTGGTGGGGTTTGGGTGGATTTTGATGAATTCTGGGTGGGTTTTGAGTGGATTTTGGTGGATTTTGATGAATTTCGGGTGGATTTTGATGAATTTTGGGTGGATTTTTACCAATTTTGGGGTGTTCTGTGTGGATTTTGGGTGATTTTGGGTCAATTTTGGGTGTTTTTGTCCCCCCCAGGTGGCACAAGTTCCGCACCCTCTGCGACTACAACAAGCGGGTGGCTCTGGGTGAGTGGGCGTGGCCC